TCCCTTGCATGCTCTCATTATGCAGGCAGGCTACAAGAACTACCACGCACCGCTGATTTGGACCACTGATAAAGCGTTTGTTGATACCAAAACTGCGTTAGCTAATGCCTGCCACCTACATGCCCCGGATTACTCCCAGCCGTTTCACTTAGATGTTGATGAAAATTGAGGGATGAGAATTAAAATTCTTTTTCAAAAGGGAGGAAGTGGGAGTACAGAAAGGAAGGTACTGATGTACTACAGCTCCAGACTTGACAATGTAGAAATGGGACATCCTACATGTGTCAGACATGTGGCTGCAATCGGAAAAGCAATAATGAAGACCTCACACATTACCATGAGTAATCAGACCATTGTTCACACCACCCATGGTGTCAAGGCTTTCTTGGACTCACAGGCCTTCACGTTGTCAGCCCACAGAGTAAATGGCCTCCAACAGCTACTGAGTAAACCCCACATTCACTTCTCCAGTGCAGGAGCTAATATGGCTTCTCAAATGGAGACCACTCAAGACCATGACTGTGTAGCAGAAACACAAAAGGAGATGCAGGTACATCCCTCCCTGTGTCACCTTTTAACAAAGACAAGTCGGCTTGTTTTGCATTCACACACAGACCCACTTAACATATTGCAAGTTCTGCTTTGTCTTGGGATGTCCTGCAGAGACCGAGGGCTCGACATCCTGAGATGACCACTTGGCCAGTTTAACATACAAATTAACATCACACATACACACAGACACCCAGGGTAGATCACGTTCAGCGCAGGGAGGTGTGATCTCCTGCTCACCAGGTGACCAGACATCCACACCCTTTAACAGCTGATCTTCTTTGGTTATATTTTTCATATGTGGCATTGTTATGCTAATACAGTGGTAGATCATGTATTGATATTTTTACTTAGGTAAAAGTAAAGATACAAGACTATAAAATACTCCACATCTGGCCAAAGTCCTGCATTAATAATTTAACTCAATTATGTTAGAACAAAAGTATTAATAGTAGTTAAAGAATCAAAAGTAAAATCATTCCATTTGTTACTATCAATTATCATGTTGGCCGTATTTTAAATGTCATACTAGTTCATATTAGTTTTGTCTGGTAAATTAGTAGTGCAAATCTCAAAATGATCTAAACTAAATTAAGATGTATTAAAATGAAAGGAAACGCAAATCCTCACACTGAAAGGATGAAACAGTTAAATATTTGGATTTGTTATATGAAAAATGAATTCATTTCCTGCCTGTTGACAAACTGAGTAATTCTTCAGCTGTCTTGTATGCCTGCATATTTTTGGATAGTGTAGTAAATAGAACAATATACGACCACTTGAGTTTGTGGATTTGAAACTTACCAAGAAAGATCAGCAAATGTGCAAAAGGGATTTATTATTTATTTCATTGCATATTAATAAACGCGTCATGTGCGTGCGTGCGTGCGTGCGTCCTTGGTAATTAAGGCAGGGCTACTAGAGAGAATGAATTCATTCATTCATTCTCCTGCCAATTTACTGCTCCATCCCTAGCTCCCGGTCGGTAGGAGGCAGTAACGCTACTCTAGCCTACGCCAATCAAAGTAAGAAGTTGATGAAGAGGAAGCAGCGGACTGCGAAGAAGATGATCATCCACCCGCCCCCCTCACACCCCCCTCACACCCTGTTTACCTAGAGATAAAGTTTGCTGCTGAGTGTCAGTGTCAGTGTGAAGGCATTGTCTATCCTCTGTGAAGGTGCTCAGCATGTATAAAGTTGTGTCCTGTCTCAGTGGACGTGGTGCAGTCTCACAGGGACAGTCCAGATGTCGGGCCAGTTTGAACAGATTCCACTTAGCAAGTGGTGAGTTGCCGGCTATTTTCATTATCAATTCATCTGTAGTTTGTCTCAATTAGTCAGTTAATCATTTGGAGAAATAGTGAAAATGCCTTACACAATTTCATAAGTGTTAAAATGATGTTATTACTTATTATGACTGATCAATCATCCATAATCCAAGGATATACATTATACTAGTTTACTATCAGGTAAGACAAAGAGGAGCAGAACATTTTAACCCATTAGAAGCTGGAGCTGGTCAATTAAAGAATCAGTTGATTATCAAACTAGTTGCCGATTTTGTTGGGGGTCGTTGGTGGCATTAGTTGCAGCCTTAAATATCAAAGTCATGCAGGCAAAGTTAGACTTTATTGTAGGACTAATGCGTTATTTTTTCCTGGTGTAGCACAGTAGGTTTCCTTTATCTCTGTCTAGTTAACCATCCTCGGGCTGGACCGGTTGGTGCACCTGTGTGCAGACGTTTCCCTCAGAGCTGCACTGTCTGTAACACTGTCTGCAAGTTTTGCCTTTTGGCCAAATTACTAAGTAATCATGAGTCTGGCTGCTTTGTTGGATGGAGCTGCTGTGCGCAGCCTTGTCTTTCACCTTCTGGCATTAGGGTTTTATACACAGTGCGCTACCAGGTGCCTTTCTCCTATATTGGTTCTTCTCCTCAGGGAGGAGCTGCTCTGGCTCTGTGTGCGAGCTGTGCGCGCGCTTAAGAGCGTGCACACCATGCTCTTTTTTTATTGAGGCTTGTGCAGTGGGCTAGGGTTTATTTGCCCTGGGTTTGAGTTGTTTTTGGACAGGACAGGTTTAGTTTGGTGTTTACGTGACTTCTAGTCTTGTTTAATTATCTTGCTTGTAGGGCTGAGGCAATAACTTACTGGGTGATGTATATTGTGCAATATATTGGTTATGTTTAAAAAGCTCACGCTCTGTACTTTTAGGCACTTTATACAACTATATTTAAATTAGTTAAATGGCAGCAGCACAGTGGTAAAACATACCTTTTTGACCAGTGCATAATCTCCACTCCTCTGTGTCCAAGCTTCTCCAGAGAGAAATACAGCATGCACTTTTGCTGTGATAATATAAACTGAATAGTTGCTAGCTAGACGAGTGTTCCCTCTACCTCACATTTTACAGCCAGGTGTAAACAGGCAGCATTTTCTTCTGTGTTGTACAATATTCTAAAGTAACCTCAATGTGGTTAGTGCCAGTCAGGTTTTAATCTGATTACCTGCTGGAAAGAAAATTCTAAATGCAATCAAAACAAAAGCCTTAACACTAATTAGAGGTTATAAATCTAATATGTGCCTGGTTATAGATGGTACAAATATAGAAAGAAAGCTGACAGTTGTAAGACCTGTTGGTAAAATGTCATTGACAGGTTGTTTCATAAACGACTACCAAATGTCACAGTAGAGCTTTGATCAGCCTCAGCCAGGTAGAACACAGAGATCATGGAGAATGCAGCGTGTTCTTTCATGAAGAATAATCGGAATCAAATATCAATTTTCAAACATTTATTATCATAACTAAACAGACCATCGAATAAAGCAATTTACAGAGCTCTGGGTTCCATCTCTATCTGAAGCCCTAACCTCAACAGCAAAACCTGTTCAATTCGTCTTCGGGACGAGAAAGAACACCTACCCTCCTGAAACCCAGTTACTTATACAATTTGAAATGTGCAATTGTAGGCTGGTCTGGTGGTCTCGGGTTGCTCCATTGGTCCATCTATCCATCCGTCCCCCTTCTGCATCCTTCCTGCTCCAATGGGAAAGGCAGCTTCCTATAGAGAGAGGAAATCCTACTCTGTCTAAAATTCCTACACTCACCTCTTTGTTTCCAACTAACTAACTACACTCTATAAAACATGGCTTTCCATTTGGCTACTAAACTATCTTGCCAGCCAGGTGGTAATATAACTTAACTGTGGACCCTCTTTGCTAAAGCTGTAAATCTAATGTGATTCAGTGTTTTAGTGAACCAGTCTCCCTTTGATGTTAAACAGTGCTCCAGTTGGCTGACACAGTAAATACAGGCCAATACTTCAGTGAACACATAGAATGATATACTCAACTATGTAAACATAATTGTAACATATAAGTAAGCAAACGTATGTGTGCTCTAAACTAAATCTTAACTATGACAGAATTACCATACACAAAGTAAACACACAGGTTGACTAGTCAACAAACATAATGTTAATCTTCTACTAATTAAGTTTTTAATTCATAAAATGTTAGAATCAACCTTAAAGTATGCCTTTGTTAATAATTTTACACAACAAGAATAACTCTTTTACCTCACAGTTTGATGCTCATTCAGAATTATTTCATAGGGGCAGTATGTCAGAAATCAACCTTCTCATACCCTCCCAAAGAAGTCCCAGAGATGCCCCCATGCAATTTCAAACCAGAGGAATACAAGGTAAGAGCAACATCTGCCATTCATACTTTACAGTCTCTAAATTGCCAGTTGGAGCCTGTTTCTGTAATCAGCTCAGTCATGAATATAAAATGTTATGTCAGACTAATATAAACATGCCGGGACTTTCACTGACAGTTTCATTAGGATGGCGTTTCACAGGCACACCCATAGATCCAGCTGCACTGATGAATGCACACAGCTGATCTCTTTGACAAGCTCAGTCTAAAGGAAAACAAAAAGATAATCATCCTATACTGTAACCCCTGTCCTTTGGATGTGTCGTAACCCCTGTCCTTTGGATGTGTCTCTGTCTAGGGTATGTCCAAAGAGAGAATGATGGAGATCCGCAGACTGAACTGCAACCCCATGACCATGAAGGTCACCTACTATAAGAAACCAGTGTTCGTCCACCAGGGATACATGCAGTGGCTGTGGGATGTGGATGGGAAGCGATACCTGGATCTGTTTGCCGGTGTGGCTACTGTTATTGCGGGCCATTGCCATCCGTAAGATCCCTTTTTCTTTGTTGTGTGAAAACAGCGATGTTTTATTGTGAAATGCAGTTTGTACTAAAACTCCCACTGGTGTTCTTGTATCTTATTCCTGATATGTGTGTGCACAGGAAAGTAACTGCAGCTGCAGAGCAGCAACTGAAGAGACTGTGGCATACCACTAACATCTATGTCAATCCTTTTATCCATGAGTACTGTGAGAAACTAGCTTCCTACTTACCAGATCCTCTTAAGGTATAGCGGTGCATGCTTTTTTCTTTTTGATCAGCAGAGGCCAAGAGCCTGTATAAATATGCAGGCTATAATTAAAATGTCTGCTGCTCTGTGTTTTTCTGTTTTAGGTGATATATCTGACCAACAGCGGCTCAGAAGCCAATGACCTGGCTATGTTGATGGCTCGGCTCCACACTGGCAACTATGACATCATCACTTTCAGGTATGTCTTATGAATGGTCCGTAGTGAGAGGCATCGATGTGTGCTTTATAATTACATTTAAAAAATGCATGAACATTTAAATTCTAATTCTGTCTGACATTATGTAAAAGAAACATTACTTTTTTATAAGACTAAAGACTAAAATTCACAGGCTGGCAGTAGATTTTTATTGGTCTTGCTGTATTTCATCCTTTCTCCCAATTAATTCAAGATTCTATTAGGACAAAAATAGACTCTTTTAAAAGGCACATACAGGAGAAGCACAGAGTTTGAGTAAACAACCGATAACAGGGTTCCAGCTCCTGCTCAGAAACATAAAATCATATTTTTATGAATGTTTCAATTGTAGGCTCATTCATTCAGTCTGTCATATGCTGTCTAGCTTGATAGCTTGGTTGTTAAGACATTTTCTCTGTAATCTAGATGTCCAGAATGTTCCTGATTGAGTTTTCTCTCCTAGAGGATCATACCACGGTGGCAGCACATCAGCTATGGGTCTTACATCCGTTGAAGCATATAAATTCCCCATTGCCAATGGCATAGGTTGCACAAATGTATGTATACATTAATGTGTAATAATATATTAGGAAAAAAGCAAACAGTTGATGGTGCACATTATATTTCCTATTTTAATGAAGGTGAATATATAACGTGGTGATATAAATGGGCAGATGCATGTATGATAAACATTTCACAGAAGGCAGAGGGGAAGCTGTGAAATCTAATTTTCTCAATTAGTGCATACACACACAGAAGCAGAAGGGATCCACACACATGCGCACACACACACACACATAAACACATCTTTGTTTTTGTCACTTACCGGGTCCCTACATAGACTTGCATTCATTTCTAGGTGACTTGCACTAACACTTAACCATAACCACTACTTGCTGAGCCCCAACCCCTAATCTTAACTAAAGCTGACAATTGCTATAAGTTTACACCACATTGTTTTCATAAAATTCGACAAACTGCGTTGTGAGGACCAGCCTCTGGTTCCCACAGATGATGCTGGTCCCCACGAAGCTAGCGTGCTCCTAGTGTTCCATCCCCACAAGTATATATATAAACAAGGCCACACACAATAGTCAAGCAGCATCTGTTTGAAAAATAGCTGTTGTTCCAAGCAGATGTTCTGTGCCATACATATCCATACTTGAAATGCATAGGAGTTAATTAGCAGTCACTCCAAAGATTTTCTTTTCTGCCTCATGAATGCTGATACTGTATGCATTCAGTGAACAAATTAAATTTAACAGAGTTTTGTTTCTTTTTCTTTTTTTCATGGCTTCCTTATATCGATCTGAAATGTACCTTTATACTGTTTAACCATGAGTGACTGCTGCTGTCAGGTTGACCCAGCTAACTAGGTTTCTGCCCAATAAACAGACCATGTGCCCTGATGTGTTCAGAGGTCTATGGGGAGGAAGCCACTGCAGGGACTCTCCTGTGCAGACCATCAGAGAGTGTAGCTGTGCCCAAGGTACACAAACACTTTCAGTGTTCTCATAAACAGGAAAATACACCACAGTTGTCAGTGAGATTAAGCAATATCATTTCTTTTGCAATATTCCTGCTAAATATTAACCATCATTTCAGGTGGCGTTGGTGTATGTTCATGTGGCCCGTGTTTGGCGTTCTAACCCTGAAGGTTATACAAAAGAAGTGTTGAATTGCATTTATAAAGTTCAAAGTCTAACACTGTTGATCATTTAATTCTACCGTGTACTGCACGCCTGTGTGTCAGCCACAGAGTCTACCTGGAAATGATCAGTGTGTTAGTATATCTACAGTATCTGATGGTTTACATACAACAAATGACCGTTATGCTGCAACACAATACCAGTATCATTCAATAACAACCCTGCTCTACATTAAATTTAGTGGTTAGTTGATAGGTGTTGGGCAATATGACAGAATTAATAAAGTGTTTATTACAGCCAGTTCACAAGTTTAGAAAAATATTCAAGATCACATAAAAAGATTTAAGTATTTAGGACTGGTTGTTGTAAACTTAAGAATTAACTATGAGCCATGTAGTAATCATAGAATTTTATCATCACACTGTTTAATGGAATGATTATAACACTGAATGTCTGCTCAGCCCATAGCTTTTGCATAAACATTATTTTTGGAATTTCCCATAAATGTCTGTGTTAGTTTGATATAAAAGACTTTTATTTGTTGGATCCCATAGGTCATTGCATGGCACAAGAACAATACATTGGACAACTACAGGAGACACTTGCTACTAGTGTCTCACGTCGAATTGCTGCTTTCTTTGCAGAGCCTCTTCAGGTACCATATTCTGTTGTATTCCTAAAAAGTCTTAGAATAATAATAACTGCCCCTCGTATCCATGTGTGTTGTTGATCTGTTGCTTTGACACATTCAATATTGTTATTACTGTACGTCATGTATATTCTATTTGTAAATAAATAATCACACTTTGAGTAGATTTATCTTAAACCAGGAAGAGCAAAACATAGTCTTGTGTTATTATGCCATCGTGATTATTGTGTTAATTGATGTGAGATGCGAATGTGTTTGGTCTATACAGGGAATCGGAGGAGCGGTGCAGTACCCTAAAAACTACCTCAAGGAGGCTTATAAGCTTGTGAGAGAGCGAGGAGGGGTCTGCATTTCTGATGAGGTTAGATATATATTTTAAAAATGTACAGTATGTTTAGATAGAATTGTTTACCATTTCAGACTCTGTTGATTCAATCAGAAATACTTAGATTAACAGATCCCCTGTTTCCATTTCTGTATCGCCTTTGAATAAAAATGTAAATAAACTGTTCCTGACAGGTTCAGACTGGATTTGGGCGAACAGGAAGCCACTTCTGGGGTTTTCAAGGGCATGATGTCATTCCTGATATAGTTACATTGGCAAAGGGTATCGGTAATGGATTCCCAATGGGAGCCATTGTTACAACTCCAGGTGAGATAATACTGTTTGAAAATCTGCCTGTTCATTAAAGATTCATTAAATAAAGAGTGTACATGTGTATTATTCTTCATTTTCCACTATTGAATAGAAGGATTATTGTGTAGAGATGGACGATCTCTGTCTAGTTACCCTAGTAGAGATGGTTACAGTGCACGGAATGATAAAGAATGATAGCAGATTTAGCAGTTTCTTCTTTAAAGTATACAGTATTTTAAGCAATTCATTATTTCCACTTAGTGGTTGTAGACTGTTCTTCACCTCAGACACGGTTTTCACATTTCCTTCTAACAGAGTAATTCTGAGGTTGATCAGTTTATTTATAGATTTTCAACACTTCACCCTCAAAGAAGCCGCCCTCTCATTTGAAGATGGAGAGGGGTCAACAGTTGTAATTGTTGTTGTAATTACTTGCTGTATATTGTAATGTGACCTCTAATCCTTATTGCTATGGCTCCCTACCTTCTTTTCAGGTGGATGGCAGTGGATGTGTGATCACAGGTTGTTTCTTTTATTATTAGCTCTTTCATTGTAATCAGCCTTTAGATATATTTACTTCACTCAAAGACCCTACAGCTGATTGCCATTGTGAAATCATGATGTGTTTACTAAAATACAGAGGCAACAATGAAAACATGAGGATGAGAAATTTAAAGTGAGGAAATATATTTTTGGTCAAGGTTTTAATTTGAAGCAGCAGCGGCTGGTGGCGTGAACTTGTTTATTCATGTTTTCCAGAAATTGCAGCATCATTTGCCAAGGGGGCTCACTTTAACACCTTTGGAGGAAATCCTTTGGCTTGTGTGGTTGCTTCATCAGTGCTGGATGTAAGAATTCATCTTCACTCTCTACATCAGCCCTATTCATCGGCACAGGGCTGTTTGAAAGCTAAACTTCACACTGAAGCACACTGAATTGTAACCCAAACGTGACTAATGCATGTTTACTTGACAGACTATTCAAGAGAACAGCCTGCAGCAGAACTGTCTTCATGTGGGCACCTATCTGATGATAGAACTCGCAAAACTCAGAGACAAGTATGAGATCATCGGTGATGTCCGTGGAAAGGGCCTGCATATCGGTGTGGAAATGGTCGAAGACAGGGTATTGAGTTTACGTGACACTCACATGTTTTCACAACGTGTCTGTGCTGTGCCTCCTGGGGAGCATTGTCCAGCAGCGCTCCAGTTAACCATTAGCTGGAGCAGCAGTGACCATCTGTAATTGTGACCACAACAACCTCAAGCTGAACTGCATGTACTACTGAAGTTCGGATTTATTTCTTGTAGTGTGTATACCAGCAGATATTGTATTTGAAAAGAAGAGGCAGCACTGAAACCTCTGATAAAATAAGACTCTAGTAAATACAAATGAAGAGAAATGGCAGTTGCAGTACAGCTCGATAAATATCCTGCCATGTCGGTGTTGTTAATCATGTAATTTTCTCACTGAAAAGAAGTTGTGCTAACACAAACAACAGCCTCAAAAATGACAAATTGAATAGACACTTCAGGCAGTCTCCTTGCCATCATACATTACATTTTATAAAAGCAACATTCATGATGTATTAATTCAACTTAGAGAAATGTTGCATCTCAGTCCTCTACTGCTTGATGTTTTTGAATTAAAGTTGAGATTAGTAACTGGCCACAAGTACAAATTCATTATCCCTGGAGGACACTGTTTTCTGCTGCTGTGTCTGAACTGCCCACATTTCCCCCCACAGTTATAATTAGCCAAGAAACTGACTAATAGTGCTATTCTAATGCACAGGTCGGCCTTGCCAGTATTCAGATGTAAAGCCTCTCAAGCCGATGAGTAGTTAGTGGTTAGGTGCTTGAGTTGTGATCAAATAATTATTGGACACAAGCTGTTAGATAGTGTTCTTATAGTTAGTTACTTCAATTGCTATGGGTGACACGTCCAGTCACAAACAGCTTCTAATCTTTTGTCTATCATTCAAAGGTGAGCAGAGCGCCACTTTCTCCTCAGGCAATAAGCGAGATCTTTGAGGACATCAAGGACATGGGAGTCCTGATAGGGAAAGGAGGAATGTACGGACAGGTACCGGCCTTTACCTTCTGTCTCTCTGTCAGTCAGCATGTCGTTTCTGGTAGTGGCTAAACAAAAAACCCTGATGGTATATTTAAATTTGGAACATTTTGTTCTTTGGTTCAGCTGTTGTAGCCTTTCAATAAGGCCATTTTGGATAATTTTTCCTCCAGCTCTTATCACTCTAAAAGGACAATTTTAGTGTAAAGCCTGTTATTTACAATGCCTGCACCGCAGGGTGCTTTTACAGGCATTAGAAAAAGTACTGCAGGTATTTCATGTTTCAGCAGTGTAGTCATTATAATATGTACAAGAAAACATGCTGCAAGTTTTTAACACTCTCTTACTACAAAGTCAAAAAAGCACTGCTGCAGTTTTTCACTGCTCATCTTGTTAACTGAAAAGCTCCTCATTTTCCTAAATAAATGGTAAATGGTAAATGGACTGTATTTTATATAGCGCTTTCTCACAGTGTGTTGCACTGGCCAAAGCGCTTTACAGAAGATCATACACCATTCACCCATTCACACACCGATGATGACAGGCTGCCATGCACCGGCGCTAGTCAAGCCACCGGGAGCAATTCGGGGTTCAGTGTCTTGCTCAGGGACACTTAGGCATGTGGAGAGACCTGGAGTCGAACCAGTCTCTTAAATAACTCTTAAGAACATGAAAATCATTATATAAGAGCGTTCGGAGTGCACATGTACCTCCACCAAGGCACAACATTCACTCACACAAATGGGTCCCTTGTGGAAAATGAGATCCATAACAACACAAAATGTGTCCTAAAATCCTTAATCTGGATCGGATCCAGATCATCTTGTAAGGTATGATAGGCAGTAATACTGTGTATCTCACCTGAACATTTCAGGGTTGTATCTTCATTATAGGCCAAGTTATGGCAGACAGTTTACGTTAAATGGGGTTTTCAATGTCGGTGACAGAGAGTGAGATGCCACATTTTCTGGCAAAGCAATATCTCTTCCACGTCATAATCCCCCTCTTATTTTCTGTTTTTCTCAATATTCCAGACCTTTCGCATCAAACCCTCCATGTGCATCACAATGGAAGATGCAGATTTCTTCATAGCTGTTTTTAACAAGTCCATCCACAACTACATGGAAAAAAAGATGAACGTCTCATAAAGGCCCAGAATCCAACTTGGGAACATTCTCAGCAGCGGATTGCATGTTTTATACATCTGTTAACATGGAAAAAATAGTCTTATTTGAGATAGACCACCTCTTGTTTGCTTTAACATAGCCATTGTAAAAGGGAATTTCTTCAACTGTGTGCCTCTCTAACAACTGATTAAGTTCATTTTGCCCTTTTTGGATCTACTGAATTGGGTGTAAAGTAACAAATGCTTTCTTGAGAACTGTAGATGTTAATGAAATAATAATGAATCTGTGACCTTGAGAAGCAGCTACCCACTATCCCCTGCAGGTGTTTTTGTAATATTCTATATCTTTCTTGTACAGAGAACAGCCATGGTCTTAATGATCTTTTTAATCCAGTCATGTCTTAAATTGCATTATCTTGGGATAATGGGTTAATTAACTTGTTATTGCTGAAAAATAAAAGGATGAATATCTTGTTTTCACTAGATAAAATAGGGGATTTTTCTTTATGAAAATGAGCTAACTTAGTCTTGAGGAAACATCTTGATGTCAGTGCATTTTTAGACACTAGCAGCGTGGTTTGAGGAATGGCACTGTTGGTTTGCATAAACAATTAATTAAATTAATTAATTAAAACTGTCTTTACATGTGAGTTTCATTTCTTTGTGATTTCCAATTTTGGTTCACTGGACGGAGCTGTATGACCAGAATTATAGACTGCCCAACTCAGAGAACAACGTAGGCATTTAAAATGCAGCCATGGTATGATAAGGTTTGCAAAAGGAGCATGAGCCATCTTCCTCCTTTCACTCATTAGGCCTTAGGGGTTCAATCTGTGATTCAGTGAACTCCTACGTAGTCACCTATCCATTCTCTGCTGCTTTTCTGGGGTTGGAAGTAAGATAGTCCAGGCGTCCCTCTCCATGTTGACATGTTCCAGCTCCTCTGGCAGGATTCCAAGCCGTTCCCAGGCCAGATGAGATGCCTAATCTTTCCAGTGTATTCTGGGTCTGCCCCTGGTCTCCTACCAGTTGGACGTACCCTGACAGCCTCCGAATGAACATTCTCCTTTGTATCAGAACTTGACTTGGGACTTTAATGTCAGGATTTGAGATGTATTTGTCACTTGCAAAACAATGACTTATTTGTTCCAACTCTGGCGGTACTCAAAGTTTCATGACTACTTTCTTTGTGCTGTTTAAATTATGAGTGACCGCAGTTGTCAAGTTGACCCAGATGTGTTCAAAGGTCCGCAGGGACACCTTTATGGAAACCATCAGGTAGCATAGTTCAGGTTCTTGTAAAAATATAATCACAGGGTTGATCTCTTCACTTGACTGTACAGTACTGTACAGTGGTTCACGAGCTCTTGCACAACATTGCACTGACCAGACAAGTTCATTTGTTATTTCAGCCCTAAACAGCGATATGAAATGTTGTTTGTCTCATGACCAGGTTATAAAGCCAACAACAAATTAAAGCACTAAGACAAAAACATTACAGGCATCAAGACAGAGGCAGAAAGTGATTAATATGTTGATTAGAGTACAGCCTCGAAATAGATGCATCTGTTTCTGTGTATTATCATAGGTTGCTTTTTGTGTTACTTTCCATAACATTCTCTTAGTAATCAACCTTTAGATGTATTAACAATTACTTCACACAAACAAGCCACTTCTTTTTCATATCTTTCTAAAATCCTACATTCATGTAAAGGTTCAGGAACTGACATAAAAAGTGTTATTTCTACAAATCATTTGTAAATCTTACAGTCAGAAATATATTTTTGGCTGAAGTTTCACTTTGAGGCAGCAGTAAGTGGAGGTGTGAGCTTGTTTTTCAGGTGTTTTGCAAAAACTGTGGCCTCAGTAAGGCCTCCTTTTTTAACAGCTTTGAAAGGAATCCTGTAGCTTGTGCATGTGCATCATCAATGCTTGATGTAAAAGTTCATCTTCTCTTTAATCTGTTCTGTTTATTAGTAGGACAGTGGCTGAAATGTCTGTAAATCTGAAGCCAAAAGGGAGAAATTTCTATTTTTTCTTTCATTACAGAACCCCATATCTGTCCCTCTGACAGTAAAGAAAAGGAGTATTTCTGATGTTTCCCCAAACACCACAAATACACAACTATGTGTCCAAGCAGTTTTGCCACACCAGTATAGAAAATGGTGACATTTCACTGGTATTGTGAGTTATTGGTGCCAGTTTGGCCAACTATTGACTTAATGGTTATTGTAAAAGCTACAGCACCCTGCTAGTATAGTCATCTATTACAGCACTTCACCAAAGATGCAATGATTCATTTTACTGTACAACTTTCAGGTGAGACAAGGCCTTAATAAAACTATAGACAATAAATAAATGTGATTTCAGGTGGACACAAACAGATTTTTACTTGCCAGACTGCCAGAGAAGATGGCACAATCAGTCTTCATGTGGGCACCAATCTGATGACAGAACTGGCAGAGACAAGTATGAGACTATCGAGGATGTTTTTGGAAAAGGCCTGCAGATCCATGTGGAAATGGTCAAACACAAGGTGCTGAGTTTGAAACAGAAGTGACTCTCACCCCTCCTCACATGCCTGTGCAACCTGTGTGTCTGTGCTGTGTCTCCCAGGGGTCAGGGGTCAGCAGTGCCCCAGTTAACCATTAGCCAGAGCGGCAGTGGCCATATGTTACTGTAAGCAGTAACTGTGCACTCCCATGCACTGCTGAGAGAATGAAATTTTTGACTTGATCGGTTTTCACTCAGAAAGTCACATTCCACACTGAGTGGAATGAATATGGGCCAGATATTTTTATAAGCCCATTCACTGCAGGGTTAGAATATCACTGCCACAACTATATATTTCACAACTGGAAAAAATGGCAAGAACATACTGTAACAATCATTGTATATGTTTACATTTATTCACCAAGCATGAAATAAATCAGTGATCCTATTCATAAAACTGTGTTGTTAAACCTTTGTCATCACCATGGCTTTGCCTCTGAGAGCATCCTCTTCCGTTAAAAAGCAGTGGAAATTGTAAATCTTTTAATATGTTATAAATATAATTGTAAAAGGGAACTTTAACACTTAAATTATATGTATGTCACAACAATGAAGACACCTGCGCTTCAGAACATTTATTTCTCATATGGTGATGATGCAGAATTATTCAACACATTGAGCAAACATCACTACTCTGAGACAAACACATTTTATATATTTATTTCTAACTTAGGTTTAAGTTTCTTTTTAGATGTACTAAACCAGCATTATGATTGCTTTGCAGTCCGTCTGCAGCGGAACACACTCTGCTGCTAATGTACAGCGGCTTCACAGAGTATTCACTTATTTCACTTTAAACGGTTGGACGTGCCATTTTTGTCCATTCACCTAGACTCTGACCCATAATGTCAAGTTGAAAACATGTCCTTAGAATTTAGCAGAAGCATTTACACGTGCTGCTGTGGCACAACGGATGTTTGCTTTAATGACCCTTGAGATGTGTCTCCAACTTGACTGGAGTCCACCTGTGGGAAACTGAACAGAGGCGCTTCAGGATGAGTCAGACTGTCCTCAAGTGGCCTAGCCAAAGTTCAGACAAACCCTGTAAGACATAAGAGACCTGAAGAAGGCAGTTCAAGGAGCTGGGGAGGATCTGTCAGGAAGAACGGGATAAACTGCCCAAATCCAGGAAGCTTGTAGAGGAGACCTGAAGCTGTAATTGCCGCCAATGGGGTTTCTACTGTACTGAAATGTAACTATGGTCAGTGGAGTGTAGATGAATGGACAAGTATTTTATCCTTTTAATCTACAACACAAAGTGTGCAAAATGAAGCCACTGTATAGTAAAAGAAATCTGTTTGATAAAAGAATTAAATCTGTCATTTCAGTGTTCTGGCTTTCCAATTTAAAAAAAGAAAAAGCATATAAAGGGTACAGGTGCACGTTTTGTACAGACACACCCAACATTCTATTGTTAAACATGGTTACCAGAGGCATTGGTGCAAATCATTCCAGAGCTGTTGTATAAATATGAACGTGCACTGCCACCTTTATTTTTAGGATGCACATGGTTACCAACAGAGCTCTTCATGACAAATCACGAGAGATGGTTCTTAGTAGGGGTCTGATTGTTTTTCCTCCTCTGGTTCATCAGTAGAGAGACTTTCATAAGTCACTGTGAATGCTGCTCAGAAGGTTTTATTCATTCCAATATGGAAGACTCGGGCTCTCACACATACATGGGGTTCTCACTGACCACAGTTATTGTGTAACTGAAAAAACAAAAACTATCGGCTCTCGTCAGCCTCAGAGCTGCTGACATATCCATCAAAGTCCACTTTCCACATCCTCAGAGCAAAGTTTCCAGTGTCTCTACTGAGGCTCCTCGGCCCAAAGAAGATGTTAGCTGTTCTTCTTTTTGTCTTTTTTGCTCTTGCTCATGAAGCTGTGAGGAGCTTTTGAGGAGAGGGCACTGGCGTGGCCGCTGGTCTTTAGATGGTCAAACAGCTTGTTTCTTGTGGGAAACTCGTTGTTACAGGTCACGCAGCGGAGGTTTATGTCCTTCTGGAGGTGGAAATGGAGATATGATTATGATTAAACAACACAACGTAGGCGATAAAGCTCCACTATCATAACTCAGAGGGATGGCAAAGTAAAAACCGATGTGGATGCATGTGTAGTCAGAAGAGATTTTTAATAATGATAAATGGTAAATATATAATGGTAAATACAAAAGACTTCCATAAAACACCTACATACCTCAGGAAACTGTTCTCCTCCTGTGTTTGACTTGACAGTCTTTGGTTTGTCTTTTCCTCCTCCCTTCTTTCCCTTTGTCTTCCCAGAGCTGCTGAGGCAATGTTTAGATGACAGATAAATAAAAATGTATTAGTAATTCAGGAATTAACTGTGCTGCATTCCCTATTTACCACAGAGTCGGTTCATATCCCTGTCCTCTTCTTAACTGTGTGAAGTTTGTGTAATAAGTGCTCATGAAATGGTCCTGAGGTTTTTTTAAACTAGGTTTCAGTTTTTTAAGGTTGGTTGCTCTGTCTTGAATCAAGAGTGGATGTCCACAGAGAATTGTGGCATGAAGCTGCAGTTCCCCTCAGCACCACCAGAAGCCATTGCTATTGTTTTATGACTCACTAACTCAGCTCTCATCGAGATCATTTCCACTGTGATCAACCTACTGTACGCTACCTGCTCACCACCACAGCAGGCAGAGAGGGTTAAAGTAAGTGTGGAGCACAGCGGAGCATCTAGTGACCTAGACAGCAAGATATTTAGGAGTTATGAGACCAAACTAGAGCTAAAAAGTGAACGTTGGACTTCTGTTCATCTTTACTGCTAGAAACATAACAACTAATATCTGCACATGTTACTGTTTGGCAACATCTTTGCCTTAGCTACATTCCAAGGTGATAATGTCTGTTGTTTTTTCTTCTGCTGCCCCCAAGTGGCCAAAATACAGACTCAATACAGCTTTGAAAATTCAGGAACACTGTAGCCCACTGGCATTTCCTGAGAAGAGTGTGATAGGTCACTATTGGCAAAGTCCAAATAGCCAACAATTTAGGTCAAGAAACAGGAACTCACCTAGGCCTGATCTTAAAAAGCTTCATTTGTGGACTCAATTAAAGTGACCCTGATGAAGGCCTGATGGCTGAAAATGCAAGGTGGTTAAAGTCTGATGTTTTGGAGAAGATCTGTGGGATGTGTTTTGATGTTAAAGTCAACAACAAATCCAGAGAACCTGACAGTGACTGTATCTGGTAGCATGAAGAACACGTGGTCAGAAAACAGAGCTGAAGATATAAAAAAAAAAAAAAATAGAAATAACTGGACTGACCTCTTGACCTCTGTGGGAGGGACATCATCCTGCTTCTCGGGCTTGGCAGGGTCCAATGACTTCTCGGGGGCATCTTCCTCGCAGGTGGTTAGCGTCGGTTTCTCCTCCTCCAGAACACTCTGTTATGGAGGAGGACAGCATGAATAGAGAACAGAGAAGGCTTTTAAGAAAGGTTCATTTCACAGGCAGTAACCGTGCACTAAACCAAGCACAGCCGCTGAAACAAAGAAATTACTCACCTGCATTACTTGCTGTTTCTTTTTCCTCTTTTGCTTTTTAGACAGCCTGTGTAGGTGGATAAAATGTCAGTAAAACCAACTAAAACTATATGTGTATAAGAATTCGGACATGTTACTAAATTCCAACCAGGTGAAAAGCATCCAGCATGAGCGACGTACCTCTGCCTTGGCTTTTCCTCCTCCTCCTCCTCCAGTTCACCTTCTTCCTCTTTTCCCTCTTTTTCATCCAGGTTCAAACCAAATGAATCCTCTTCCTCCTCCAGCTGTTGCCGTAGCAACGCCACCATCTCCCGATGTTTTTTTGATTTTTCATGGTTTTTCATTCTGAAGAGAGGAAAAAGTAAGAAACAATGAAAACAGAAAAAGCCTCGACAACACAGATTTAACAGTGAGTGAAGTGTATAAACTATTTACAAATCTGTATCATCACCAAAAAATATTAACAATCATTAAGAGTAACTGACATTTGTCAATTCAGGAATTATACTGGCAGCGAATCATTTCGAACTGTACCATTTGTCTCAAATGTCTATAGAATAACAAAGACAATGCACAAACAAAATCTTCAACAGCTTCAAGCAAGTTGATGAGTCACAACCAAATCGATCTGAAAACTCCCTCAACATGTGTGTAAACATTAGCAGTAGCTGACCTTGTCATTCAAGCTCGACTAGTAGGTTTTCTAAATTGTTCAGATGTGTTGTTAGAAACATAAATCATCACTGACAGCAAAAAAAAAAAAAAAAAAAAACGCTTTTTCAACAAAATACATTCATGTCAGTCAGTTTACTGCTTTCCTGCAATTTCATCAAGCCATACATTTTAGTCACATCAACTTGCTGTTAAAGTTGGATTTAAATCAAGTTCTATGACATGTTAGTCACTTAGTTAGTCAAAGTTAAATGAATGCATTTGAAGCTGTGACTACTGCATCGCTGCATTTGGAGCCTTTAATCATTGACCCCTGGGCTGATCAAATGTCACTAAAATCATTCATAGCTTGGGGAGCTGAACTAGCACGTAGGTCCGGGTGGTAGCAGGTAGGTGGGAGGATACTCACGCTTTATATGATCTGAATGACTTGTCACAGGCTGGGCAGTACAGATCATCAAGACAGTCAACTGTCGGTTCATCTCCAGGCTGGTCTGCATCTGTGAATGAATATTGATGCACTGAAAAAATAAATGCAAACACTAGACACAAACACACAACATGAAAACTTTATACTTCACTACTGATCAACTTCTATTTAAAGATCATGTGTCAAGTTAAATCTGTGAAAACTGATAATCATAGTACCTTTCAGATAAAAATTCAAAATAAGATGTAACCTCCTATACGTTATGAACACAGCCTAAGTGTTATGTCTTAAATTCTTTTTAATTTACAGACAACAACCAGCTGGCTCTGACAGACCTAAAGCTAAATTCATATCCAATACGAGGTTACCGGGAGCTCCGCAGTAAGTTTCAATTTAAAGTTCAGCTTCGTGTTTCTCTCAGCTGCAACACTAGACAGATGTAATATAATACATGATCAGACCGTATCAAGCATTAATTTCATTCCATTGGCTTGTAAGAGGAAAAACAGAATTTCTACACTGTCCAAGTTTAAGACCCTTTTAAAACCACACAGAATACAATTTAAATGCCACACATGTAGTCTCACTAACCTCCTCCGTCTTCATTGTTCAGCTCCCTCGTATCCAAATCCTGCTCCTCTTCCTCGCTCTCTGATGCATCTCCAAACTCCTCTCCGTACTGAGCCTCTATCTGCTGCAGCTCCTTCTCCAGTTCTGACATGGCGGCCCAGCTCTGCTCCTTATACTCTTCTGCAAGTCTTGGCAGGACAAACGGAACAGTATGTTGAGTATGAAGAAGAAACCATTAAAAAAAGTCCAATTTACCAAACTGCCTCTCCATTGCATACTTGGCCTGGCTGAGCTTCTGCTTCCGTCTCAGCTCTTCAGCCTTCTTGATCTTCTCAGCGTTCTGTTCCTCCACAAGCTTCCGGTGGGCCTGCACGCGTCGGTCACGTTTGCGAACAAAAGCCACCAGCTGCCGCACCAGCTCGTTGCGCTCTTTTCGAGCCTTGTCTCGGGTTTTCTTGTTCTCCTTCTCCATGGCCCTTTTCTCCCAGCGGTTGGAGGCCTGCCGTATATCATACTCCTCCTTCCAGGCAAAGTTTTTAAGAGAGCAAAAGCTCTGCCAGTAGCCGTAAAACACATGCACTACCTTTGATGTAGAAAAAGAGACCATCAGTAATCTTTACTGGTTCACTATTAATATTTCAGTTGTTGCTTTTTTGTTTTTACTCAGATCAAGTGGCAAAAACAAGGAAAACTTGCTTAATGATTTGTTCATGTAACTGAACTGTATTAAGAACTCTTGTATGATCAAACAGTGAAAGAACCTCAAGTGTGGGGCTGGCTTACAGTATCATAGTCACTCTGAGAGTCTCCAAAGGGAGGAAAGTCCTCCTCCTCTTCCTCATCGTCCATTCTGCTGTGCTCCATCTCCTCCTTAACAATGGACTCAAACAGATTCCTGTAAACTGTGTAAAAGCCCTAGGGAGGCAGAGTGGATAAAAAAAGAGGGAATAATAAATAAGAAAATCATGTTCTTAGATGCATGCAGAATTTCTGTTCCCAGAAATCCCAAAGGATGAAGCTGCTGGCACCACCTGTCAAGCAACTGCTGCCATAAGGACGGTGTCTTCTAATGGTTTTGTACCGTTTTTGGAATTTAAACCAGAGGTTTTACCTGGGTTTCATCAAATATTGAGGACTATTCCCTGTGTGTGTTTGTTAGACTGGCTGTGTGTTCTTGCATACTCAAAAAGAGACTGGATGATTTTTCATTGGGGCATAATTTCCAGGTTTCCCGCAGCTCTGCACCTGACATAAATGGTCTTTCTTTTCCTCCCAAACTCACCACGTAACAGAGTAAGCAGAGAAAGGATTGGGCTATGTTGACCTAATATCATATGCTAACATTATTTATCCTCATTTATGCATACTTAGCAAAATGGTCCTTGCACACATGTCCACAAACACTAACCTTCTCGTCATCTCCATAGCCAGAGTAGCAGGTAACCGTGAAGTACTGGAGCAGATCAATGCTATCATCTTCATAATCTCCACTCAGTCCTCCTTTCAGCAGGGCCTCCCTGTGATTGTCGTACCTGCCACACAGGAGAAGACAGAGGCATCAAACTATACATTATTTAACCCACATGATTTGTACATAAAACAGTAAAGACATTTTGAGTTAGGAAGACCTCTGTGACTCTGCTAATTACACAAACAGGATGCAGACACATTTGTACACACCAAGCTCTCTCCTGTGGATCACTTAGGACATCATAGGCTGCCTGAATCAGCTTGAACTGCTCTGCTGCCTCCTCAGCACTGTCCAGATTTTTATCTGGATGATCCTCAGCACTGTCCAGATTTTTATCTGAAATTTTCAGAGAAACCACAGCTGTTGATAGTGTGAACAACATTACTGAAAAGGTAGGGTTTGAGTTAACAGCATCGCATGCTGATGCAAGAACAAAAAAACTCAAAGTAGAAAAGAATGCACCACTTCTCAGTTAGTTGCCAATTTAATGTTCTGTCCAGCAACAAATATATTAATTGGCAAATCTTTGCAGCTCTACAGAAAAGTACTATTTCAGAGGTGACGTTTACACCTGTGAGCCTAAATGCATACCTCCACTACATTGTAAGTGAAATGTTTTTATTCCACCACATTCATCTACAGACTATTCAGATTAGGTTTCTGACATAGCACATAGGTTCATACGACTCGCTGGAACTTTTAAGTAGCCAAAATAATATCCTTCACGATTACAAAATAATGTCTAAACTAGCCTAGTGCATGTTACACTGAGCTACAAGACCAGTTTTAACTAAGTCTATTATCACATTTTGTACCGTAGCAATACGGCGAATACCTCTTAATTTCTTATTTAAAGAATCGAAGTGAGTTCATTCAGGTGCAGCGTTGATACAGGGACACTGACACCCTAGTTTATTATACTAGGTTTCTATCACAACTTACCTGGATGCCATTTCAGCGCTAATTTACGATAGGCTTTTTTCAAATCGTCGTCTCCTGCGTCTCGCTTCACACCCAATATTTCATAGTGACACTTCATTGTAAATTGATTGTCAAGAGAAACTTGATTCTAAGTTGAATATCCAGTAAAAATGTTGATGAGGCCAACTTTAGCACCCAGCTAACTGCCGCATGCTAACAACCGAGCAGCTCTCTACTTTAATTCTAAAATAATACAGAAATACAATGCGATAGCAACTGTATTGTAATGTCTGGTTCTTACATATTCAAATCTGTTCGATCTTACTTTCTAAAAACAAATAGTTTCCATAGACTAAGGTATTTTACGACCAGAACTCAGGGACCCAACTGTCTAGTGCCGGTGCCACTGAATCTCGCGATAATTCGTCTTCTTCTACAACATTTTTGGCTTCTTGAAACCATACGCGTATATTGCTGACCTCTACCGCTAGAATTGAATTATGATATTATTTAGTTCATAGATTTTTGTATTAGACTGTATTCTCCCAGAAAGAGACCAGTGGTGTGAAAGAAAAATAAAACACTTACAGTGCCAGTCTTGGCAAGGGGAAATGCACATCTTACGTTATTGTAATAATAATAATGTTCATTCAAACTCTAGTGAAAAGTGTTTCTGGCATTTTTGGTGGGGGGCTACGATTTAAAATGCCTTGATTCCCCTTTATTTGGTCGTTAGGTTTAGTTTGTATTTGTGTATTTTTGGACGTGACGCGTTTGTAGGCCCTGCAATACCACCTCCACGCCATTAGTGGTGTCTTTCTTTGTTCCATCCACACGTGTTGGAGTTGAACCTCCAGGAACGCGAGATTTGTGTCGGCGTAACCAAACCAAACATGTCGGCATTCAAGAGAAAACGTGGAGGACAGGGTCTTATTGATAATAAGGCAAAGAAAGTAAAATTTATAGTAGACTTGGACGAAGAACCGAGTGAAACTGAACAAGATAAGAAACGGGAAGCCACAATTCCAGCACCTGTGTCGTTGGTAAGCACTGGTGCTTGCTGTTAGCCACTGAAGTTGGTTAGCTCCTAAGCTAATTTCACAAATAGGACCTATTTTACTTGAGGTACATAAGGTTTTATTTAAAAAAAAAACTGCGACTAAACCTGTGGCTTTAGTAGAAATAACGTTACTGTAAATTAAATAACGTTATAATATCACTGTACACATTGTCAAGTCTGGAGTCGTTAATACACAATCGGAGTTATGTTGTTCAGTCTGAAATTTCACAACGCAGAGAAACAAATTCGTTTTTTCCTGATCCATATTATACCAAAAGAATATGTGAGTGACAGGGAAAGGGCTTCAACTCGACAATAACAAGTGCAGAGTATTGTCTTAGTATGTTTTTAAGTTCTGAAATAAGCTCTACTAATAACAGGGCAAATGGACCAACAAGGAAAGAGTTCTCATTTTCTCCTCAAGAGGCATAAACTTCAGAACAAGGCATTTGATGCAAGACCTGAGGACCATGAAAAAGACCAGTTGTTTGTTATTAATGAGGTGAGTTTATTTATTCACACTTTTACACAGTCATATGCATTGCAACATAGCTCAAGGTCAGCACTGTCTTGCAGGTGTGTGAAATCAAAAACTGCAACAAATGCCTCTTTTTTGAGGCCAAGAAGAAGCAGGACCTCTACATGTGGTGAGCATTTGATCTTCATTACATTCAGTGAATGTTGACCTTTTAGTGTTGCAGATCTGATATAAAGTGAATTATGATTTTGCCTTGCAGGATTTCAAACAGCCCTCATGGACCTTCTGCAAAGTTTTTAGTCCAGAACGGTGAGTTACTTCTCTCCCTCAGTCCTGAAGTGCAGTGGACAACATGCATCATGTGCAGTGCGGAAAAGCTGACTTATATTGTTGTCTCCTTCACAGTTCACACACTGGCTGAACTTAAAATGACAGGAAACTGCCTCAAAGGATCCAGACCGCTGCTGTCGTTCGATCCTGTGAGTATCATTGGACATGGGGAGGAATACCTTCAGTAATTCTATCACTAATATGATTTTATTAGGAATGTGTCAGTAATGAGTAGTTGTGTGCCACAAAGAATTGTAATTGCACCCAAACATGACACCAAGTGATTTTACAAGCGCAACATGCACGACAAGGGAGGAATACCTTCAGTAATTCTATCAATAATATGATTTGTGTCAGTAATGAGTGACAACATGCATGACGAGCTGTGACTAATTATCACTCACAAATGTTTTCTCCTGCAGAAATTTGACCAGGAGCCCCAGTATGCTTTACTGAAGGAGCTGTTCATCCAGGTCTGTATACAAGATGCATACATAGTCCTGGCTAATTTCTTAGTAACGTAAAACAGAAAATGACATTGTTGAAACCCGAGACCAAGTTGATCAGTGTTCATCAGTAGAACATTTTGTTCCTATGTCCTATTTAAATTAAGATGGATGGTATCATATTTAATAGTTAAAACCTTCGGTTTACGGTCACTGTGAATATTAACAGTTTGTTTGATCAGCTTGTACATGACTCTAGACTGCGAGTGATCAGTCGTATTTTGCAACCAAATTTATTTAAGGTGCGACTGATCGCACTGGCTGCAGCTGCAAAATAAACAGGTTATGTACAAACAACTGCTCTCACTGTAGAAATGGTGGACAGATGTGACAGTTGCAATATAATAGCCTAATCATCATCACCATGTTGACTGCCAGGCTATGTAGCACTAGAGTGATTATACATAAAGAGCTGGAAACCTGTTCCAGAAGTGATGTTCATTATGCTGCAAAACAGAGGTGGTGCCACCAATATGAAAGTCTGGAGCCCTGTTGTATGTCTGCCTTCTTAAAAAATAAAAAATATTCCTCACTAAGTTTTCCTGTTGTAGACATTTTCCACTCCACGCTACCACCCCAAGAGTCAGCCTTTTGTGGACCATGTCTTCACATTCACCATTGCAGACAACAGGATTTGGTTTCGAAACTACCAGGTAATGGTTCTCTATTCTTCATGAAGACTTCTGGGCTTACTTTAGTCATTTAGATATTTAACTACTTTAACAATCAAAAATGTACCTTTCACTGTGGGGCCTCCACTACATTTAATGTGTAATGATTTAAGATTTTCCCTTTTTGCTCTATTTGGTTTTCATTCATTTCTCTGTGCCAGATCATTGAGGAGGATGCCTCTCTAGTGGAGATTGGGCCTCGCTTCGTTCTCAACCTCATTAAGATCTTTCAGGGGAGCTTTGGAGGGCCTACGCTCTATGAAAACCCGAACTTCCAGTCTCCTAACATGGTAAAGTCCAGTGCATACCAGTTAAAACTGTAGGCATGTTATATGTATAAGTTACACAGTTTGATAACTTACAGTATTTCTCTTCAGTTTAATATGCCTGGCCCAGTAAAGTACATAATGTTTTGTTTCACACACAGGATAAATATCTCTTCAACAGTGAATTGAGCACAGTAGCTACAGAATTGGAAGTTATAATGTGTGATGTGTTTTTGATGGTGTTAATTGCCTTTCTCTTTATGCACCTACAGCACAGACGAGAAATCCGACTGGCAGCAGCAGCCCGAGTACGTGAGAAGCAGATGGTGAAGGAGATCCAGAAAGTGAAGAGGACCGAAGCAAAGGAAGATTTAGAGAAAGATGTTACAGCTGATGTCTTCCTATCACCAGCTGAGGAGAAACCTGTTCACATTCAGACTGAAGCACCTGAGCCAAAAGTGGCGAAGAAAAAACACAAAGCTTTCAAAAGACAAAGGATGCAGATGGCACGCAGGTAACTGGGTGAAGGAGGAATGACTAACTTCTGCCATGATTCAGTGCAGTCACATCTGATGTCCAATATTATGAGCTTTTTGTTAGTTTACAGTAAGAATGTGTAATGAGCCATCATTTAGTTCACACATTTGGTGAGTCCTATAGCAAATCTTAAACAGTAATAAAAAATCATCCACCCTTTTTGACACAAATATTCCATCAGTGTACAAAGGTTTTTGAGGATGAGTAACTACAGTTGTTTCCTATGTCAGAAATAAAACTTTTTATTCTCAGTCTCTTCTGCTGTATTCTTCAAACAAATGGTTATGAAAATGTATCTTCATACAAAGTTCAACTTAAGGCACACAAAGTGGCGACACCTGCACATTTGCAGAGAAATCTAAGGCCCTTGGAGAGTACGCAAACTGTACACACACTACACTTGACATCTTGTGAAAAATGGATCCAGAAAGATGAGATCAGATTTGAACCTTACATAGACATATACTGGCCAAAGTGGGATTAAAAACCTTGCAGACTAGGTTATAGGTGTTGTTCATATGTTGAGGGGCTTCTGGCTCAGACTGGCAGGATCTCCATACTAACAACCACTACATTATACAATACATACAAGCATTTTCTGAATCTATGAAATAATTAAGTATAATAGTGACCTAACTGCACATGGGTACATAACAAGACCCGGTAGGTAGCAGCATCTTTCCACAAGTCCAGTAACATAAATGTCACCATTTGGTCAAACAGCAACTGGCGACCACAGAAGTTAAGGTGCTTAGTGAAAGGGGAGTTTAACAGATGGGCTGTTATCACTCGTCATCCGTCTCCTCATCAGGACAGCAGTAATATTCTACAAAGCAGATCTGTCCATCGTCATTCCTGACCATGTACTGCAGAGAGAGGATGCCCCTGTTGTCTATCCTCACAGAGACTTTACAGGACAAAGCCAGGGCTTTGGTGGTCGGCTTCAGCAGCGACATCTTGTACCTGTCAGCAGTTCACAGAGAGGACAGCACAGGATATGGAGGTTTAATGAAACTCATAGACAAATCCAATAAGAACTAAATAAAATTTATCCTATGCTAAAATTCTTAAAATCTTTTTATGTATTGTCCAATATTCCACCATAATGTTAAGAACTTGCATGGCAGAATGCCAAGGAAGATTGACCTGATTTATAAAGAAAACATACTGTAGATCATACTCCTTATTGGATACCTCAGTACTTCACCACCACCTCTGAGTACAGTGTATTTTGCTAAAGTTTTAACAGTGTGCTGTGATGCTTGTGACTGTACTAACCTGTTGATTTGTGTCTTGGTGCATCGGAACAGCTCCATCATGTCTGAGTCTTTGGGATAATCATAATGAGCATTTCCAGAGTTCCCAAATGTTGACAACCTGAAAGGAACAACAAATCAAAGAACAGGGTAGGTGAAATTGACAAGTCAAGGATACACCCTTGCTTCTCTGAGAGACTCAGTTCGATTATTTTCATCACTGATGAAGGTTAAATATGCATTAAACATTTTGTCTTTGGAGCTTTAACAAACCAAATGTCCTTTAACATTATACTAGAGAACAAGTGATGATATTTCATAAAGCAATCGTTGAAAGAGTAGTGGCAGTAGTACTGTGTATAATATATACAGTAAATGATCTGAAACAATAACAGTAGCAGCCTTGTAGATACAGGACTAATAGTAGTTGTACACCTCCTGAATTATTTACTTGATGTAAAACTATATATTCGTTTTCCAACACCAGGTAGATAGGAGCACAGAAACTGATGTGGACAGGCTGAACAACACACCTAAAGTATGGCTGGCTGGGGGACATGGTGATCTGTAGCACCTCACTTGTCATATCCAGTTCAGAGAAAGCTTCCTTCAGACTCTCTGACTGCAGGATCACCTTTAAAAGGGTAAAGGTGTAATTAATTGCTGTTTTTACCTGTAGATACTGTCTAATATACAGTATATATTCATAATGGGTCCATGAAGTTAAACCACTCAGTGCAAGCAAGAGAAAATTTATTTTTTTGTCAATGTATAGTGTCTAAAGGCATGGGTTCATATCATCTTATTGTTTTTATAAATCTGCAGAATGTTCATAGATGTATACTATTCCAGTTTCATTATATGACATCATGAATGCAGACCTTGTTTGTGACATTGCTGCTGCAGAACTCAAAATCAATTGGCTCTTCTGGCTCTTGTGTTTTGATCTTGCAAACAGTCACCACACCACCCTCCTCCAGAAACAAGGTCAGAGGATAACCATACCCCCTGTAGCACATCCGCAAGGCTGTTGACACTCCTGCAAATTTGATGAGGGAGTTGCTGCATCATGTTTTACAGGGGTAATAATCTCACTGTAGCTAAAATGGACAAATTTAGTCAAAATACAATTACACTAGGTTTTATTTTTTGCCCACTCTACACCAGGTTTTCAGTCTTTACCTGGTGCTGTGCTTCCTCCAAAGATATTGAGGCAGTCCAGCAGAACAGTGAGTGTGACCTGAAAACCCACCAAATCTTCCCGTATGGTGAACTCTTGGAAGATCTCAGCCTGGAATTATAAGAGTTTGCTTTTATAATTATTATCATTAAAAGAAATACAGTCTGGGGAAATCGAGACTTAGTGTGTGATCCATGAACACTTTAAGGCTTATTATAAAGGTATAGCAAACACACCTGGATGAAGGCATTGGCTTGCAGACATTTTGAGTCCTCTACTGTGACCTTCAGGCCGTTGGTAGTGGCACTGAAGATGGCATGGTCTTTAAAGCTGATAGCTTTCAGGATGTTGGAGAGATTGCGAGCATTATCCAAACTGGCCACTAAGACGTATTGTTCATCTTGGGCCTGGGACTGAGTGGACAGAGGCATTGTAGTACTGAAATGAAGACACATACAGTAAGAATGGTTTGAATGGCCAGGAAGATAAAACAGGTTGAAAATAGCTAGCTATCGAAAATATGGCTAACATAGAACGTATCTTGCATCTAAACCTTAATACCATTTTGGTATTGATTCAGCAGTTAAGGGAAAAGTGAAGTCCTCCAACAGCTGACCACGACAAACCTGTGGCTATTTATAGCGCCTTCATACCAATGACATTTTTAAAAATACTATGTTTGTTTTCACATAAATCATTTAACCCATAACTGGCTACGCCCAAACTCATTTTACTGTCTGTTATTAGCATATTTCAAGAGGCTATACAGCAAGCTCAGTTTAAAACAACATAAATAGCCTGTCCCATATTTTGTACTATCCAACATCTGCAATTAATACGTTTAAAAATGTTACTGGCAAGTGTGATTTTGTATCAAGGAACTTACAAATTTGTGGGTCAGCAAATCACCCAGTTGTGTTTTGAAGAAAGGCGCTCCGTTACAATGTAACAACTTCCGCCTCTTCTTCTTCTTCTACGAAAATAGGTTTGCGTATATGCGCTTGTATGATCACATTCCAGAAATTACGTAACAGAGTGCAAAACGTACGAGAGGTTTCCTCTCTACATTGTCTGTACGTGACAATATTGGTAATTTGTGATCTTCAGAGGTGAGAATTATTACTCGTTTAAAGTCTCGTGGCTAACAAAATGATGTTTAGCTTGTAGGTTAGTTACATATGTTATTTGAAGCATCAAGCAACGGCAGGAAGCTAGCGTTAGCTAACAAGCTGATCGTCTGATGACGCTGTCACGATTATGTTTCGCTAATTGGTAATAAGGCAGCAAGTTAAGAGAACACAATGAACTGGGCCCAGAAGTCTAATATTAAGGATTAAGATTTAGGTCGCCAAGGATAGCTGAAAACAGCTTTTCTTGTTTTCTTTTTTTTGTACGATATTTTGAGCTAACATTAGCTTACTGACAGGTCGCTGACAACAAACTCTGGTGGCTGACTTGGTGAAGGGAGGCAGAAATGTGCTTACTGGACTGGTGTGAAAAATAAAGTGTATCAGATAGAGTTTGCATCTTGACACTTGAAGGCTGATGTGTATGCTTTTAGCTTTGTACACGCTCCTCTTGTGAAACTCTGTTGACACTGCAGTTAAGTTGCTTGATCATCTTTGAAACACATTGTGATTGCATTGTGAAAATGCCACTTTAGGCTCTGAGTAACTGTGATTGGTATTTAATGTTTTTTTTCCACAAACCAAGCAGTCCTTTAATAATCTATGATTAAAATAATAACTTGCAGCCTTATATAGAAGATAAAATTAACCCCAGATCAACCAGCTACAGCTGTAAAATGCTGATTTCTCATGAATGCATCAGTAAATAATAATTCAATGATGTTGTCTGCACTGAGGTATTAGAAATACATTGTGTTGCTCAAACAACAAAATGCAGATTTTTTTAAAAATCCAGTTTCACTTTGGTATTTGCAGAGTGCTTGAAGCTTTCATAGACCTCTGTCATGAAAATCTGTGTCTTTGTTCTCTGCTCCAGGGTTTATATTTTGGACAGCCTGTCTGAGCCACAGTCATGGTGTGCATTCCCTGTATTGTGATTCCTGTCCTGTTATGGGTCTACAAGAGGTTCCTGGAGCCTATCCTCTATCCTTTTATTTCTCCCATAATAAGTAAATTCTGGACCAAAAAAGCCGTCCAGGAGAGTGGCACTAGTGACCAAAAAGTTAGTGAAAAGATTAATGGGACTTGCAAGGTAATTTAATGAAAACCTTTAAGTTATGTTGGGTTTCACTTGGATTAATCATACCTAATATTGGTGTTAACATTTAAGCAACTTTCTCCCTAATGTGTTTCAGGGTGAAAGCATTGGTGAGGCCACTGCCAATGGACCTACCACAGTAGCAGATAAGAAGACAGATTGACAGCACAAACTGTATAATGCATTTAAAACTGTGTAAATATACCATTAATATGATATAGAGAAACTATGAATTATCAGTCTTGTTTGAATGGAGCTTTTTGATCATTTCCTGAAACCATGTAAGGCTGCTGTTTATTTGTTCTTAACTTATGTTATAAAATTTATAGAAAATGGTTATTGTTATATTTTCCTCAACTATGAACTGATTCAAGCATCAACTGTAGTAAATATTTAATTTCAATGGAATAGGTTCTAGGCCAAACTTGCATTTCAATTGGTGAATAAATGAAATCATTCAGATAAAAAAAGATGCTCATTTCTTGCTCTTGTACTAAACTGTTTCCACTTCACCCAGCTTGCTCACTTAATATTTTGAAAAGTCATCACAGAATCAGTTTTTGTTTATTTTAGTAAAACAGAAGTAAAAGCACTAAATAAAAACAGGAAGATTAGGGAATGGCAGGCCGACTGGGATAGTGGCATAACAGGGTGACACCTATGTGCAAATACAGAAGGATGTGGGAAGCATGAGAGTAACAGGAAGAAATAATAGAGATGAAAAAGTTATAACAAGACTAAGACTGGGACATACTAGGCTGAATAAGATGTTGCTTTTGCTAGAAAAACTGATAAGTAGTAGAGGATACAATGAAATGTTTTATGAGTCAAAAATATGTAGAGATAAGTTTAAAATGGCAGTTTAGAAAACGAAGTGGTAGAATTGACTTTTATGTATATACTCTGTTATAAAGGTGGAGATTTTAATAGATTACTAGTTGAGAGATACAGGGTTTATGGATAGAGTTTATGGTTAATTTAATTTAATTTGGGGTGGGCAGCATGGTGGTGCGGTGGTTAGCGCTGTCGCTTCATAGCACAGCAAGAAAGTTCCGGGCTCGAGTCCCGACCGACCCTTCTGTTTGGAGTTCGCATGTTCTCTCTGTGCCTACGTGGGTTCTCTCCGGGTACTCTGGCTTCTTCCCACAGTCCAAGGGCGTAGTTTAGGTTGATTGGCGACTGTAGGAGTGAATGTGGGTTTATGTGATTGTCTGTCTCTAAGTGTCAGGCCTGTGATATACTGATGACCTGTCCAAAGTGTGTGCCGCCCGTCGTCCGGTGTCAGCTGGGATTGGCTCCAGATCCCCTGCAACCCTCTTTAGGATAAGCGGTATTGATAATGGATGGATAGATTATTTTGATCCACGCTCCAGCATGGTAGGTGGCGGTAATGCACATGAATATTGATAGCCAATAGTAAAGCCGTCTTTAGAGGAAGATGAAGACGTAATCGTGTCGTCATTACGCAAGGGGTGGCGACGTGGAAAACATGGAGGGAAGCAGTATGTAGAGTAAATTTAACTGCCTAAAATTTCTATCAATTTCAAGTATTTGTTTTTATGAATTACACCAGATAAACAAATTGAACATTACTAATTAAGGTGAACGAAAAACCTCGCCTCTTTTCGAGCTTGGCATCCGAAAGAGCTAAGGAAACTGCGAAAAACATCTTTGACAGGTAAGCCGAGCGGTCAGCTGATGGCAAACAAGGATTTACTGCTGTTTGGGCAGTGAGTTATTAAGTTGACCCGCTTCAGAATCAGGAATGTACCCATCTGTTATATGTACGCTTATTTGGAAACGCCAGTATGCCGTGTGAACTGGCCAAATTACCGTGGCACAGATTATTTCCTGCACTTCAAACCGGACGAGCTAGCTAATTCTTGGCAGATAGAAGCTCAGCAATATGAGCCAATACAACGACAGAGGCATGAGATGGCACACTGAATATGGGAATCGCATTTTGACCTGGTAAAGCCTATTCGCCAGTACCAAGAACACAAAAATGTCTTGGTGGCTTGCAGAATGTAGTAAATGCCTCGCTAAGCTTTTTATTGCCTAACATTTGATTTACATAAAATTTACAAAAGATACTGTACATGTTATGGCTCTCTTTTGATAACTATATGTGAAAAAAGCAAATAAACACAAGATTGGATAAGAAATAAGAATAAAAGCAAGGCGTCCAAACCTGCAGCTCAGTTTTCATTGACAGTTCATCCTTAAGGCAGCCATCTCAATTATCATGTGAAATTTGCAAAATAGTTTGTTCTTAGGTCCTTTTGCATGCAATTAAAAAGAAGGGGATAAGTCAAACAAATAAACAGAGAAAAATCAAATTTCTTCCGTTTGCCACATCTTAAGCAGATAAGGAATGATATACGTATGCCGGAGTTAGATGGTTGTGTTTCAGGTAAAGTCTCGTCTTAGAGGTCTAATAAACTTGATCCACTTTTACTAGATATTTGTAAACTTGCCTTGCTGTACTCTGAGGGAGTCTGTCAGGTTCTCCATATATATATATATATGTGTGTGTGTGTGTGTGTATTTGACTCTGTCATCGAAGTGTGGCACCTGTTGAGATTTTGCATAGATAAAATACACTGAATCTGAAAGGAGTGTCTGAATGCCTCTTGTAAAGTCCAGGGTATATTCTTCCAGTAAGAAACCATCCACCTTTGTGGTTTACCACTACTACCGTGCCTGTCTTTGTCCTCCAGTGTCCTTGGGCAAATGTTGGCTCACTGGCTACACCCATATGCCAAAGGTGTGTCATTTCAAGAAAAAAAAACGCAGGTCCTGTTTCCTTATATGTCATCATGTTATGAAATTGGTCTCTCTCTGGAATGCACTTATTGGAATTGATTTTTTTTTTTTTTTTATACATAAATTGGGTACAGAAAGAATTTAGACCCCCTTAAATTTTTTA